CTCTCTGTAAAAAATCAATAAAAAAAAAATATATATATATTTTTAAAAAGATGGTTGTGCTCAGAGCTCCCTGCTGTGAGCAGGACTAATGTGAACTCCACTGACGGTGAGCCCCGTATCCTCAGGGCACTTTCCTTAAAGGGGTGCCCAGCCTCTCAAACACTAGTCCCTACCTACTGTGGAGCCACAAAATGCTCAGGGAGACTCAGACTTTGGAGGGAGAATTCGGCGTGACCCCGAAGCCTGTGGACTCACACCTGCCCTCCCAGGCCGGCCCACAGGGCACCTGAGAACAGCAGCTGCAGGCTAGGCCCAGCTCCCCCCAACCCCCCCAAAATAACGAATTAGCTTGCCTCCAGGAGAACCAGCACTTCCAAAGTTGCTCCCTCAAAGGAGAGAACGCGAGTTTGAAGCAGCTGTTGTTTGGCAAAGTCCATCTATAAATGCAGGACACCGCCAGAGAGACTTACCCTGTCCCAGGTCTTCCTCCTCAGCTGTGAGACTCTGTCGCCTGGCAACAGGACTCTCCCCTGCAGGTAATTAGCATAGTCCCGAAGCCAGCCTGCAGGAAGAACAGTGGCTGAAAGGGTCTCCAGGCACCCAGCTTGGCGCACAGGTCTCCCCAGTGGGCACCGCCCACCCGCAACCAGTGGGAGGGTCCCAGCCCCAGGACGACAGGCCTCTGTCCATGGCGACGGCCGCGTGGGCCTTGCAAACAGGGAAAAGCCAGCTTTGCCGCTTGTCCACAATGAGTCCCATGAGATATCATTACACTTCCGTGTGATCTGTCCAGATCGTTTCTTCTGCTCTTTTGTTTTTGATAAGGCTGTCTTTTACCTGTTTATTTATTTGAATTTATTTATCTCTTGCAGTTTTCTCTTTGCACCCTTATTATTTTCATTTTTTAAATCCTCACCCAAGGATATATTTATTGAAAATTTATTTATCTCTTTGCACCCTTTTTATTTTTATTTTTTGAATCCTTACCCAAGGATATATTTATTGATTTCTAGAGAGAGAAAGAGAGAGAGAGAGAGAGAGAGAGAGAGAGGAAGATTAGTTGCTTCCCATATTCACCCCACCAGGACTCACCCTGAAACCTAGGTATGGGCCCTAACCCCTGATCAGGAATCAAACCCACACCTTCTGGTGTATTGGATGACACTTCAATCAATAGAGCCACTGGCCACAGCTCTTCGTACACTTTTCACACCATAAATCGGAGTGACTATAAAGCTCATAAAAGCATATAATTTTATAATCATTTGTTCTCAATGTCATGTCAGTGTGTGGTTCCTGAAATCTACATCTTGAATGAATGTACTGCATCTGGTGGACATGGCTTTCCCTGCAATTTCCAACTTGGCCCTACCCCGGATAAGGCTGCCATGAATATATTTGTGCACTTATAGTCTTTTTGTTAAAAAAGTTCTTTAAATTACATTTCCAGAAATGAGAAAATTGGTTAAAAAAGGATAACTATTCAAATTATTATGCAAATAATAAAATAACATTGTAGAAAAATTAGAAAATGCATATATACAAATTAAAAAATAAAAATACTCTAAATTGTATTCTCTAGATAGAATTGGGAAATAAGTAAAATAATTAGCAAATAAATAATTTGGAATGCAAAATTAATCTAAGCAATACAAATTTTGGAAAGTACAAAAGAGCAAAATGAAATATTTTAAAGGAAACATAAAATATAATAAATCATTAAACTAGAAATGCAGTTAATAAAAACTTTAAATGCAAATATTAAATACATAAAAAGTGTATATACATTACCCCACCACTGTCTTGTTTAATGCAAAATGAAAATAAAATATTATTTAATTTAGACAATAAATGAATTTAAAATAATTAGCAAATTGCCCTGGCCAGTGTGGCTCAGTCGGTTGGGTGTCATCCCATGCACCAAAAGGTTGCTGGTCAGGGCACATGCCCAGGTTGCAGGCTCAATCTCTGGTAGAAGGTGTGCAGGAGGTGGCCAATCAATGTTTTGCTCTCCCTCTCTCCCTCTCCCTTTTTTTCTCTCTCGCTCAAAATTAATTAAACATATTTTTTAAAAAATAAAATAATTAGCCCTGGCTGGTTTGGCTCAGTGGATAGAGCATCGGCCTGGGGACTGAAGGGGCCCGGGTTCAATTCTATTCAAGGGCACATGCCTGGGTTGCAGGCTCGATCCCCAGTGGGGGACATGCAGGAGGCAGCCAATCGATGATTCTTTCTCATCATTGATGTTTCTATCTCTCTCTCCCTCTCCCTTCCTCTCTGAAATCAATAAAAAATATTTAAAAAAATAAAAAATTAGCAAATTCAGATAAGTAGATAATTTTTAATGACCTGAAATCCTACTACATAGTGTATTTCTAATTGGAATATTCATAAAAGTACAGACTTTAAATTAGAAAATAAATAACATGAAAATTATAAAACACATATAATGAAAAATAAATATTTTAAGGAAGAAAATACACAAGACGATAAATACATTTTAAAATGTAGATATATAAAACCTTATAAAAATTAAAGCCACACAATTTCATCATCTAGAGGTAACGTTCTGTGTAACCTTCCAGACTATCAATACTTGTACGACATTGTTTATGGCACAGGTGTGCAATAATAATTTGGCGATTTTCTAATGCTCGCTTAACTCCAAACGTAGACAAATCACTAGTTTGTCAGGTGACTCTGGAACTAAGTGTTTTTGTTGTCACCATGTTTGCTCTTATTTTCTTTTCCTCTTCAGAGGATGGAGCTCGACTCCGGAGCCAGGGCCTTTGCTCAAGGTTGGGTCTGGCAGGTGCCCTGCACAGGCTGTATGGGGAGGTCACAGCACCTGCTCTGTGCCGGGCCTTGGGTGCCTCCAGCCCGCCTTGGCCAACTTCCCTGGCCTGCATGTCACCCCTCACCCTCCGCTTCCATGTTCTCTTCGGCATGGATATTAGGCAAAAAGAGTTTGCAGTCGGGAGTGCTTTAGACAGCTGTTGCTGTTGTATTGTCTAGAACTGTGTAAGATTCCTACATGTTAGAGAAGTGAAGTCAGGAAGTTGCCCCTGTGGAGGCGAGGACATCTCTGGTTTGCAACAGCGTCTGTCTCTTTGTGGATTCTATTGACCTACAACCTGGTTTTGAGAACGAGGCGAACCCAAATTTGCTTCTCGGAGGAAGAAAGTAGAGGGAGTGTAATAAAATAATTAACAAATTCAGATAAGTAGATAATTTTTAATGACCTGAAATCCTACTACATAGTGTATTTCTAATTGGAATATTCATAAAAGTACAGACTTTAAATTAGAAAATAAATAACATGAAAATTATAAAACACATATAATGAAAAATAAATATTTTAAGGAAGAAAATACACAAGACGATAAATACATTTTAAAATGCAGATATATAAAACCTTATAAAAATTAAAGCCACACAATTTCATCATCTAGAGGTAACGTTCTGTGTAACCTTCCAGACTATCAATACTTGTACGACATTGTTTATGGCACAGGTGTGCAATAATAATTTGGCGATTTTCTAATGCTCGCTTAACTCCGAACGTAGACAAATCACTAGTTTGTCAGGTGACTCTGGAACTAAGTGTTTTTGTTGTCACCCTGTTTGCTCTTATTTTCTTTTCCTCTTCAGAGGATGGAGCTCGACTCCGGAGCCAGGGCCTTTGCTCAAGGTTGGGTCTGGCAGGTGCCCTGCACAGGCTGTATCGGGAGGTCACGGCACCTGCTCTGTGCCGGGCCCTGGGTGGCTCCAGCCCGCCTTGGCCAACTTCCCTGGCCTGCACGTCACCCCTCACCCTCCGCTTCCATGTTCTCTTCGGCATGGATATTAGGCAAAAAGAGTTTGCAGTCTGTAGTGCTTTAGACAGCTGTTGCTGTTGTATTGTCTAGAACTGTGTAAGATTCCTACATGTTAGAGAAGTGAAGTCAGGAAGTTGCCCCTGTGGAGGCGAGGACATCTCTGGTTTGCAACAGCGTCTGTCTCTTTGTGGATTCTATTGACCTACAACCTGGTTTTGAGAACGAGGCGAACCCAAATTTGCTTCTCGGAGGAAGAAAGTAGAGGGAGTGTGTTTCTAGGACCGTCTCTTGGCCCCTCGTGGAGAACTTGCTTATGCCACAGACAGCCCCTCGGCCTCCGTCAGCAAACGCGCCCCTTCCCGGAGCCTCGCGCAGGTGAACGGTGGGCCAGGTGCCGCAGACACGTGCCCTTCCAGACACCAGTTCCCGCTGGCCCAGATGAGTGACCTTCTCCCGTGGTTTCCGTCTTCTCGGTGAGCAGGACTCGGACCCGGGTTCTTTTGCCAGCGCCAGTGCGCTCTGCCGCTGCTGCCCAGACTGGGGGGAGCTTTGGAAAGTCGAGAGCCATCTCGGCACCAGTTCAGTCTAAAACGCTCACTATATTGATGAAACAATGCAGCGTATCAGCTGCTAAAGTGCTAATTACCAGATAGTTACAAAATTCGCATAGACCATTTCAAGAGTGATTGCCTTCAGATTAATGTGATTTTTTTTAAAAAAATTTCTAAAAAATAGAGCTCACCTTCAGTTAGGCGTTTGCCACTTCTGGTAATGGCACCTTTTTTGATGGCAACAAAATGAGGACTCTTTATTGGAGCTCATAGCCGATGAAATGAGGAAGGGGATGGTGAAGCGCCTTTATCTCCTCACACATCCCACCAGATGGCAATGTCATAGAGAACAGGTAACATTCTAGAACCTTCTGAAAGGGCGATGACAGGGGCTCGCTCTCCTTTCTTGGGCCCTAGCAGGCCCATTGCGCTTCTCTAGTCCCACTCCCCTCTCCGGCTCCTAAGGCAATGCAGCAAGATGAGCGGTTGGTATTTGCCATTCCAGCTCCACGAGCTGGTAGCGCAGCTCCACATCCTTGGAAGGCTCAGCACAGGTCCTTTCTGAGGAGTGACCCTCTGTCTCCAGCCCGGCTCCGCCCTCGTCGGAGCCTTCAGAGGGCCTGCCATCGGGATGGAGTAGGAGGCAGGCCCACAGCTGGCAGGAGAACCCAACCTTCACGTGAGCCTTTGCAAACTAAAGAAAAACGTTACCATGTTTTCTCTCTGTTGTTCGCCTCGACTAGTTGGACCGAATAGATGATTTCTCAGTTGGGGAAGAGGTGAATCCCAGCCTGGGAGTTGCTTTCTGTGTATAGAGAACCTGATAAGGAAAGAACGGCATGAGGAGGGGCAGGGAGCCGGGACAGGGGGCTGACGGCTGTCTGCGATGGGAGGGGAGGCGCTGCCCCTGCTGGGCACTGGGCGGTCAGGCCTTGTCTAGGCAGAGCCTCCAGGAACCTGGCCCAGCCCGCCAGGTGGGACGGAGAGTGCATGTGGGTGGGGTCTGTGGCGCCTGAACAGCATTGAGGCAGAGGAGATGGCTGGAAGGAGGCACAATTGGGTTGGGTTTGGTGGAACATCTGAGCAAGGAGACAGAGAGGAAAGAAACAGAAATGGAAAAGGAGTCCAGGGTGCCAGCCCATCCGGGGGGCAGGGCTCTTCAAATCCCTGCTGAGCAGGAGGGCTCTGCATGGAGAAGGGTCCCTCCCACTCCCTCCACCGCCACCGCCACCGCCACTGCCACACTGGTCTAAGGTGGTGTTGCCCGGGTTCAATTTGTATTCTTATTTGTATTTGTAGAAACATAAATCGACACAGCCCTTTAAGAGGACAATTTGGCGATATGTGGAAACTTGAAAATGCTCAGACTTTTAGCCAGTGTTTCCCCTGCCAGAAATTTATCTCACAGAGATACCAAGTATTCAGAAAGGGGGGTCCGAAGGTGGTCACAAAAACATGAGTTGTGAGGACAAAACCCAGCGCAGAGGCAGGCTAACCCCCAGCTGGAGAAGGGACAGGCTCCTCAGGGTGTCAGCCCACGAGGCAGGTGGGGCCTGCACGGAGGAGACAACCCCATTTATCACCTGTTTAAAAACCAGGCGAGCATACAGAAAACTCCCGGAGACTGTTAACTGTGGATACTGCTTGAATGGAAGAGGCAGTTTGGAAACTCTTATTTTATATTCACACTAGAGGCCCAGTGAACAAAATTCATGCATGGGGTGGGGGTGGATCCCCTCAGCTCAGCCTGCACCCTCTCCAATCCAGGACATCCCTCTCACAATCCAGGACCACTGGCTCCTAACTGCTCACCTGCCTGCCTGCCTGATATCCCCTAACTGGCTCCCCTGCCAGCCTGATCACCCCTAACTGCCCCCCCCGTCGGCCTGGTTGCCCCCAACTGCCCCCCTTGCTGGCCTGGTCACCTCCAACTGCCCTCCCCCTCCAGCCTGGTTGCCCCTCACTGCCCATCCCCTGCCAGCCTGGTCACCCCCAACTGCCCTCCTTGCCAGCTTGGTTGCCCCTCACGGCCCTCCCTACTGGCCTGGTTGCCCTCAACTGCCCCCCCTGCTGGCCTGGTCACCCCACACAGCTTGCTGCTCAGTCATTTGGTTGTCCCTCACTAACCCCCCTGCCGGCCTTGTCGCCCCACACAGTCTGCTCGGTCGTTCGTTCGGTTGTTTCGGATGTGAGGGCCCCTGGCTCTTTATATATATAGATTTTATATTCTTTGCTTTTTTTGGTTAATCCTCACCTGAGGATTTTTTCTATTGCTTTATCAGAGAGAGTGGAAGGGAGGAGGAAAGGAGGGAGAGAGTGAGACACACACATCGACTGGTTGCCTCCTGCACACGCCCCGTCCAGGGGTGGGAAGCAAACCCACAACCGTTGACAGGTACATGCCCTTGACTGGGAATCAAAACCTCAACCCTTCAGTGCTCAGGCCAATGCTCTATCCATTGTGCTACACTGGCCAGGGCTATATTGTTTGCATTTTTAACCACATGCATATATTGTATTCACATGTCAATCATTATATTCACAAGGGCAAAGAAGGTGGAGATGTGTCTGTGGGAAATCCTTGTGAAATGTGAGGCCCCTGAGCTCACTCTGCCCTTCGCTGGGGCTCTACATGGGCCGCACTTATGGCAGCGGCATCTTCTGGCATAAGGGCCACACAAGTGTGACAGAGGCTGCCAGACCCTCACCGTCAGTAGCGCAGGTGGGCAAGAAGAGCTTGCTCTGGACCGGGCAGTTTGAGGCTCTCCTGGGTGTCCTGGGCCCGCACAGCCCCAGCAGCATGCCCCCCCCATGCCTGAGATGTTTGGTCACCAGCATTGTTTTCTGTCCCACAGGAGGTACCCCGGCTCCGACAGGACCATGCTGCAGAGGTGGCAGGTACAGTGACCCCTAGAGGATTCTGGGTTTGAGGAAACCCTTCGGGAATGCAAATCAGAAAATAGCTCAGGCCCCAGTGGTGGAGAGAAAGCATGTGGCTGAATCAGGAGGGTTCTTCTACATTTAATTTACCAAAATGCCCCAAATAATTTTCTGAAAAGATCTCCGTGATTTAAGGAGAACCTGGAGCCGTGGAGTTGCAGCTAGGAGTGCGTGTGTGAGCATGTACATGTCCTGTGTGCACACACACACTCTGTCCAGGAGGGTGTACACACAGGTCAACGGACTTCACTCAGGAGGACACAGCACCCACCTCTAGTCCTGGGAAGACACCCGTGGCTCCCAGCAGGGAGGTGCTGAATTGAGCCCAGGGTTCTAGGTGAAAGGAAGGGACCCCAAAGGGCCCTGCCCAGGGTCACAAGGTCACGGCTGGTCGCTGGGGAGCAGGCCAAGGCAAGGAGAGACCACGGCCCGCAGAGGAGGCCTGGGACTGGCCCAGTGGCTGCTCATTCGCCAGGCGCCATGGGAACTTTCCCCAAATGCAGTCCCTGTCTCCATCGGTGACTGTCTGTCTGAGGCCCTAAGGGTGAGAGTTATCTTAAAGGACAGGGAAGAGGGAATTCCTAAAGGCCCAGGGGATGGGTCCTGAGCCCACTGCTGAGGCCTTTCTCTGTGACCACAAAGTCCCCTCAGCTGTCTAAGTGCACGTGTCGCAGTCAGTTCTCCCACACGCCTTTGTGTCTTAACCCACTCGGGAGAATCACACCCAAAGCTAACACATGCTTCCTCCTGGCCTCTGGGCTGCGGGCCGCACTGTCCGCGGCTCTGCTTCCAGCTGCGATTGCTGCAGCTCCTGTGGGATATACGGCCCTGAGCTGACCGGCTGGCGCACAGGGCGCGGGAAGCCCGTCGGGCGTCTGCCGATGCTCACCCGCAGCGAGCGGCTCCTCAGGGCTGAGAGCCAGACCAGGCCCGACCTCTCCGTCTCTTCCGGCAGAAAAGGGACATCAGCAATTTCGAGTATCTCATGCACCTCAACACGCTGGCTGGGAGGACCCACAACGACTACATGCAGTACCCTGTGTTCCCCTGGGTGCTGGCTGACTACACCTCACAGGTATGTGTTCGCAGGGGCCCTGCAGGGGCCCGAGGCCCCGGACCCTGGACAATCGAGGCTCCTAAGTCAGTGAGCAGAGCCTCCACTGCAAGGCTCAGCCCACCTGGGCCCCAGGTTCCTCAGCGCGGCCCCTCGCCCTGGACGAGGCCTCTGAGTCCAGCTGCCTGGGCTCCTGTCCAGTCCCCTGTGGGAAGGTGACCTACCTGTGAGCTGATGGACAAGGCCAGGACAAGGCTAACAGGCCCAGAGGGCGTCCTGGCTTAGGCCCTCCTGGAAGGACGATGCTCATCTGCTGAGACAATGCCATGGACCACACTGCCCTTCAGGTGTGGCCACGGGCCTGTCCCTGCACTCCGCCTGTGTGTGTATGGGGGAGGGGGGGAGGAGAGCAAGAGAGAAGCATGAGCCATTCCACTGTGGCCCAACTTCAGTATGAGGTGGTGGTGTGCACTGCACCCAGCATCTGGACTGACAGGTGGCGATGGGAGGGGCAGGGCGAGACCCCGTGGTGCCCTTCATGGCGCCCATTCCTGGCCCTCAGCAGGCAGGGGAGGGGGAGGAGGAAGGCTGACAGTGGGCCACAGTGACACCACGGGGGAGGAGCCTGCGTGGAGCAGTGCCCCTGCCGCCTGCTGGCCCTCAGGAGACGCGTGTGGAAGGGGCAGGAAGTGTCTGGGTCCTGCTTGGCTGCGGGATGTCTGGCCCTCAGGATTTGAAAGCGGGGGCTCTGTTTTTGAAACCTCCCATCCCCACTTAAGACATTCAGTGCAGAACAACTTTCCTCACCAGCCAAATGTTGCTTCTTCTTGCCCTAATGATCACCTGAGCTGAGGTATTTCAAACATGAATCTTGCAAATTGCACCTTTAACTCACATTTTACAAAGTGCTGGTTTACCAGCCCCTTTGTGCAGCCCCAAATTGTGATACTTTACTGCATTTAAAAACTGAGAGATTTCTCCCCCAAATCTGGACCTCTTAAGTATCTTTTGGAGAATCAGGAGATGTGGCCGCTGAGTGAGGGTGTCCACTTGTGGCACTTGGGGTCTCGGGAGAGCCTCTTCCCTCTGGCCAGCCTGGCTCTGCAGGTGTGAGGTGGCACAGGCCCTGCCTCCCCCGGGGGGATGGCTAGTGACAAGGAGTTGGGGCATAAACACCTCCATGCAGACGTGCAAGCCCGGGAGGCACACGGCCTTTCCGCTCACACAGAGCATCTCTGCTAAAAGGAAACATTGGGGACACCTGGCCTGCACCCTCTCAGGCCACCGCTGTGTGTTCCCAAGGGCAGGGGAGGGGCGTGTCCTCCACAGAGATGAGGCTGTCCCTCCACTTTTCTCCCCAAACAGACCACTTCTCACTTCCTACTTGAAGCACACTGTTCTGAGGGCTGTGCCCAGTGCCTCATAGACAACAGGGTTTCTTTTGAAAGTTTCTTCTTAAGAACTGGTGGTGATGTTCCGATTTGGGTCAACTGGGAACAGGTTCAGTGTGAACGCAATCTTCCCTCCTCTCCTCTTTCATCTTCCTCCCTCCCATCCCCTCCCCATTTCCCATCTCCCTCCCTCCCCTCCTCTCCTTTTCCATCTCCCTCCTCTTAAGCCTGTGGATCACTGGCTCCAGTGCCATAAACCCCTGCTCCCCGGCTAATCACCGGAGGGGGTCAGACCAAACGACACTCAACCAGTGAAGAGAACCATAAAACTACAGAGCGTGTCTCCTGAAGTCTCGCTGGGGCACGCAAGGGTCTCGGGGAGTTAACTCCAGCTGCACATCTGCCTTTCAGACATTGAACTTGACAAACCCCAAGACATTTCGGGACCTTTCAAAGCCCATGGGTGCTCAGACGAAGGAAAGAAGGCTGAAGTTCATCCAGAGGTTTAAAGAAGTGGAGAAGACGGAAGGTGGGTAGATGCCAGCTCATTGTTCTCTGCAATGCGCTTCATTGAAAGGACCATGGATACCAGCCTTCGAATAATTATGCTTGAATAGAGAGCTCTCTCATCCCCTGGCCTAACCCTGGCTGTGAGCAAGAATCACCGGGAGAGCTTTTAAAGCTATCGAGTCCGGCCCCATCTCTAGAAATCCTGCGTTAGGAAGTCTGGGGTACAGCCAGGCCAAGAAGCAGTGTGCTCAGAGCTCACACCCCTGCGTCGTGCGCTGTGCACCGTGCTCCGTGCGCCAGGGCAGGAAGACAGGAGAGGACCTTCTGCTCAGCTTCCCCTCCCGCCCAGGCCAGCCTGCACGCATACAAACAGCGGTCCATCTCCAACAGGACCCTGACCCCCAGGGAGCTCGAGCGACTCCTTCCAGATCATCACCTTACATGTCAGAGCCCAGACGTGGTTCGCCCGCTGGGCACCTGTACAATCCTTCCTGCTCCTCTGCCCTGTGCCCTTATTGCCCTGACGTTTTCCTTATGCCTATTCACTTACTGAGTGCATGCATTTTTAGAAGGAATTTTCCTGTCTTGCTTTGACGGGGATGGTGCGGCTGAGGGGCTTGAATGGGCTTTTCACCGGGGGCAGCCGTTGGCCAAGCTGTAAGGGCACCTGTGCGCAGACCCCGGGCACCATGGCCTACAGGTTCTCTCGGGCAGGACTTATGCTCACTGATCATTCCTGAGCGCCACGTGGTCCGTCTGTGCCTGCCCAGCACGGGCGGGAACACCACAGGCCTGTCCTCTCTTGCAGGAGACATGACCGTCCAGTGCCACTACTGTACTCACTACTCCTCGGCCATCATCGTTGCCTCCTACCTGGTCCGGATGCCGCCCTTTACCCAGGCCTTCTGCTCTCTGCAGGTGAGCTCCCACCCCAACACACACACACACACACACACACACACACACACACCACACACACAACGTCTCACAGACTCAGAGCTGGGCTTGGACAAGGCGGGGACCCACCTTGACTGGTTTAAATACCCTGTTCTGGTGGAAACGTCTCACAGACTCAGAGCTGGACTTGGATGAGGTGGGGATCCACCTTGACTGGTTTAAATACCCTGTTCTGGTGGAAGCAGGTGCTCTTTATCAGTTACACTTGCACATCTGCCCAACAGTCTGGCAAAAAGATTTAAAAATATAAAAAAATGAGAGATATTTGAGGGGAGAACTTAACATAAACCAGTTTTGGTAGAAAAGGAAGAGCAGGAAGCTTAAGGACTTCCTTGAAGGTAGGTGGTCAAAGATTATAAAAATAAACACAAAGAAGGAAGAATGACATCAGAATGCTTAAAGCTATGCTGAGCACAAGCCGAGAGGTTTAAAAGAACAAACAAAATATTTGAATACTGAAATGAGCAGCTAAATCAGAGAAAGACACTAATCAACAGCTCACCCATAAAGCAGCAGACCTCCAGGCCAGCTCAGGGCTGCCGGATTTTGTAAATAAACCACAGGACGCTCGGGTAAATTTGAATTTCAGATAAACCCTGCTGTTTATCTGAAGTGCAAGGGTAGCTTGGCCTCCCGTGATTCACCTGGCCGCCTGGTGGAGCTGGAGGTGGGCAGGTCTGACTGGTGGGCAGGAGGCCTTCGCGAGCACAGAGAAGACGTTTTCCCTCTTCCCCTCTGCCCTCATCCCTGGGAAGATGCAAATCTTCTCCTGGGACTTCACCTCAGGACACAGGCGTGGTTATGCACCAGCTCTGTGCTTTCAGTGCCACCGCTGCAGCCATTGCTCGAGCCTTGTCCCCCTTGTGAAATCTGAGTGACTCCGGTATTTTCCCTCTTCCCCTCTGCCCTCATCCCTGGGATCCTGCTTCTCAGGCGACCCAGGGCCACAGGCTGACGGGAGAGCCATCGGGTTGCCCGCTGCAGCCAGGAGGCTTGCCGACTCCCCGTGAAATCCAGCGCACACCCGAGTGCAGGAGCTGACCTGCCAGGCCTCGTGGGGTCCCCTGAGAGGAAGGCGGGACCGCAATGGGCGACAGACCGGGAACACGCGAGCGGACTTGTTCTGACCGCATAGCTTCCCCCGGGGAGGAGCACGGTTGTCCCAGGACGTGTGTGTTTAGTCTACCCCCCCAGCAAGGTCACTCTTGTGGTCACTCATCTGAGCAAGTCAAGGTCAGCACTAAGCCAGCTCCTGGGTCCTGGGCGGGAAGGCAGGCAAGGTCAGGGTGAGCCCTCTGAGATGCGCTCCGTGCACAGCCCTCTCCCCTGTGCACAGTGGGCTCGGCTGACGCTGCCCGCCTTCTCCCTGGAGATTCACTCGGAAGGGCGGCGCGTCCCCAGCCTTCCTCAGGGCCCAGCATGTGAAGTAAGTTTGGTTGGAGCACAGTGGGTCCTGGAGCTGTGCCTGTGCCAGAAACCCCACCCTGTGCCTATCAATCCAGCATAAATGACGAGCGCTGTTGATGGGGTGACGAAGTCTGTACGGCTTTCCATGCGGGGTGCTCTGGGCCTCAGGGTCCCCTCGCCCTGCAGTCTAGTGCACGAAGACCCTGGCCTGTCACTCAGGGTCTGTCACCAAAGGGGCGGCAGAGGGAACTAGAAAGGGCGGCCACGGGGGGTTGCACCTGCCCTGCCGCTCAGAAGATGCAAATCTTCTCCCGGGACTTCACCTCAGGACACGGGCGTGGTTATGCACATGCTCTGTGCTTTTAGTGCCACCGCTGCAGCCATTGCTTGAGCCTTGTCCCCCTTGTGAAATCTGAGTGACTCCGGTTTTCTGCATTCAAATCACCTGAGGCGTGTGGCCTGCTGAGGCGTGTGGCCTGCTGAGACGTGCGGCTCTCCGCTGTGCTTCTGCTTTGCTCTCAGCTCCTTCTAACTGGCTCTTCCCATGGCTCATGACTGGCCCAAGCCCTCGGAACCAGTGGGAAAATCAGAGAAAGACACTAATCAACTGCTCACCCATAAACCAGCAGACCTCCAGGCCAGCTCAGGGCTGCTGGATTTTGTAAATAAACCACAGGACGCTCAGGTAAATTTGAATTTCAGATAAACCCTGATGTTTATCTGAAGTGCAAGGGTAGCGTGGCTTCCCGTGATTCACCTGGCCGCCTGGTGGAGCTGGAGGTGGGCAGGTCTGACTGGTGGGCAGGAGGCCTTCGCGAGCACAGAGAAGACGTTTTCCCTCTTCCCCTCTGCCCTCATCCCTGGGAAGATGCAAATCTTCTCCTGGGACTTCACCTCAGGACACAGGCGTGGTTATGCACCAGCTCTGTGCTTTCAGTGCCACCGCTGCAGCCATTGCTCGAGCCTTGTCCCCCTTGTGAAATCTGAGTGACTCCGGTTTTCTGCATTCAAATCACCTGAGGCGTGTGGCCTGCTGAGGCGTGTGGCCTGCTGAGACGTGCGGCTCTCCGCTGTGCTTCTGCTTTGCTCTCAGCTCCTTCTAACTGGCTCTTCCCATGGCTCATGACTGGCCCAAGCCCTCGGAACCAGTGGGAGAGCCAGCCACCCTTGCTTTTCCCTAGAGCAGTGATGGCGAACCTATGACACGCGCTAAGCCAGCTCCTGGGTCCTGGGCGGGAAGGCAGGCAAGGTCAGGGTGAGCCCTCTGAGATGCGCTCCGTGCACAGCCCTCTCCCCTGTGCACAGTGGGCTCGGCTGACGCTGCCCGCCTTCTCCCTGGAGATTCACTCGGAAGGGCGGCGCGTCCCCAGCCTTCCTCAGGGCCCAGCATGTGAAGTAAGTTTGGTTGGAGCACAGTGGGTCCTGGAGCTGTGCCTGTGCCAGAAACCCCACCCTGTGCCTATCAATCCAGCATAAATGACGAGCGCTGTTGATGGGGTGACGAAGTCTGTACGGCTTTCCATGCGGGGTGCTCTGGGCCTCAGGGTCCCCTCGCCCTGCAGTCTAGTGCACGAAGACCCTGGCCTGTCACTCAGGGTCTGTCACCAAAGGGGCGGCAGAGGGAACTAGAAAGGGCGGCCACGGGGGGTTGCACCTGCCCTGCCGCTCAGAAGATGCAAATCTTCTCCCGGGACTTCACCTCAGGACACGGGCGTGGTTATGCACATGCTCTGTGCTTTTAGTGCCACCGCTGCAGCCATTGCTTGAGCCTTGTCCCCCTTGTGAAATCTGAGTGACTCCGGTTTTCTGCATTCAAATCGCCTGAGGCGTGTGGCCTGCTGAGGCATGTGGCCTGCTGTGGTGTGCGGCTCTCTGCTGTGCTTCTGCGTTGCTCTCAGCTCCTTCTAACTGGCTCTTCCCGTGGCTCATGACTGGCCCAAGCCCTCGGAACCAGTGGGAGAGCCAGCCACCCTTGCTTTTCCCTAGAGCAGTGATGGCGAACCTATGACACGCGTGTCAGAGGTGACACGCGAACTCATTTTTTTTGGTTGATTTTTCTTTGTTAAATGGCATTTAAATATATAAAATAAATATCAAAAATATAAGTCTTTGTTTTACTATGGTTGCAAATATCAAAAAATTTCTATATGTGACACAGCACCAGAATTAAGTTAGGGTTTTTCAAAATGCTGACACGCCGAGCTCAAAAGGTTCGCCATCACTGCTCTAGAGTGAAAGATGAGGTTTACTCTCCAGGGAAGGGGTGCCCAGGCTCCATCTGGGCACATGCCCGGCTCTCCTTTGAGAGTCCTGGGACTGCACAGACCTCCTTAGCGAGGTCTGGCAGCTTCCTGAACGCAGGCTCTTCCCGGGTCCCGCCCTGCCTCCTGGGGGCAGGCCCGTTTCTTGTCAAGAGACCGTGTCTCAGTCTTGTGTGCTGCTAGAAGTACCGCTGTGTTCTCCACAGCAGCCCCGTGGGCAATGTGGGGGGAGCGTGCAGACCCAGGCGCTGAGGGCTCCCTATTGCCTCTGGGGAGCGGGCAGCGAGTGCCCTGGTTGCAGAGCCAGCGTCCCTGTGAGTGGCCCCCGGACAGCGCCTGCATTTCCGCTTTCCCACGCCGCCCTAAGCAGCCTCTGCCTCTTGCCTATGGCCCTGAAGGAGCCAGTGCTTCCCTGCAGGGTGGCTTGGTGGGCGAGTGCCTTCAGTGTGCACAGCTGTGTGCTCTGTGGTGCCCCCATGTGGCTGGTGCACTGAGCCTGCCCGCTGGCACCAGCGGAGAGGCGTGGCTGGCACGTGGGCCCTCACACGCAGCCCATAAGGCGCATTCTGATCAGGCAGGCCTTAGAATGGATGCCTACCTCTATCACTGCCGTGAGTGTTTTTCTGCCCCAAACCAGTTATTCCAGTGACAGACTTACAGCCTGAGACCTCGGTTATGTGCAGTGGGGCCCGAGCAGGTGACCCTGCAGGCGTGTGACCCAGGCACCACGCAGCTGCTCTGTTACCCCCATGCCAGCAGGGGCAAGACTGCAGGGCTGAGGACTGAGGGCTGAGGGCTGAGGACCGCCCTGCAGGAAGCTGCAATTCTTGGACCCTCACCTACCGGAGGAGCCAGTGTCTGTGAGCACC